CAGCCCTCATGCCCCCTCTCCCCTCCCCCTCACCTTGTTTCTTCCTTCAGTGTACATGATATTTCCACTTACCCTGGAACACATCTGTCCTGTTCTGAAGGAGGAGTCAGAGCTCCGCATAGGTGATGTCAGGGTGTGAGGCTGTGGCAGTCCTCTGGGGATGGCATTTTGAGATGCTGGCCTCCTGCCTTCTGGTGACATTACAGCTGCTGCCATCATTTGGCTGGTGTGGCCGTGGCGGGCCCACCCGGCTCACATTGAATTTGGAAATGGCCTTGCTGACCTTTCCCTGTGGGATCCGTTTCTCCACCAGTGCCAATGTGGGAAAAGTGTTTCTGGCATCCTCCCCTAACCCCAGGTCCAGGCAGCCGCCAAGTCTTTGGGGGGATTCTCCATCTATATCCTCATTTTTATTCTGGGCTCCTGAGCCTGGTGGTGGGGTTTGCCTTCACCTGTTCCAAGTTCTTGGCCTCTGCCATCACCCCACACTCTCCACGATGACCTCACCCACTTCCTGGCCTGCAGAGCTTCTGAGGTTGCATTCAGAGTGACCCACAGCTCACATTCTTCAGCAATGACTTGCTGTCATTGGAGACATAGCTTCCACCTTGAGACCCTGTGACTTCATGATGCTTCTCATGCTTTCTCACTCTCAGCTACAGGCCACAGGCCCTGCGAAGCTGCTCTGGAACCTGGTAGTCTGTGTCTGGGTTAGAAACTGGGGGGGCAGAGCTCCTGCTGTGTGATCTCACAGACCTTCGATGGGATGTCTGTCTCCTGGTGCACCTTTTTTGTTTGTTTGTTTGTTTGTTTTTCGGGACAAGGTTTCTCTGTGTAGCTTTGCGCCTTTCCTGGATCTCACTCTGTAGCCCAGGCTGGCCTTGAACTCACAGAGATCCGCCTGCCTCTGCCTCCCAAGTGCTGGGATTAAAGACATGTGCCACCACCGCCTGGCTCCTGGTGCACTTTTAGGAGTGAAATTTGACAAGCAGTTAAGTGCTGGTCACCCATTGTTGCATAAATTCTATGGATGCTCTTGACGGTAGATGCTGTTATAGTGGAGGGACCTGGATCTGAGGTACCAGTGCCAAGATCCCAAGGGTTTTTCACCACTGGCTCATAACGGCTCCCACCCCGATGGGACTCAGCTTCTTTGCCTGCTGCATTTGCTCTTCTTCCAGGCTCTGGTAGTATTGCTTGTTGGTTCTCAGGAGGATATTTCTACTTTTGGAATATGACCTGAGCTCTGCTGCCCTGCTACCCTGCTGCCTGGGCATCTACAGCCCATAGTCCTTGGCTGTGATACATCTGAGGCCTCACTGTGGGGTGATGTTCCATGGGGTATCATCCTTCTCTCTGCTGTCACATCCAAAGGCCACTTCCAGAGGATCCGAGGTATCTAGCCCTTTATTGCAGAGGCCCCGTGTGAAGAACTTTTTCTGGCCAGGCTTGGTAGTGCATACCTATAATCTCAGTGCTTGAAGATCCAGGTGGAGGATAAGGAGTTCAAGGTCATCCTCAGCTATTTAGTGAGTTTGAGGTTAGCCTGAGCTACATGAGACTGCCCCATTTAAAAATAAATGAGAATTATTTTTAAAGAATTTACTTTTCCCTGGTTAATTTTCTAACTAAGCATGGCTGTATGAAATATGAACTCTCCTTTAAACAAATTTGAGTTGGTGGAAAGAATGCCACATCTCGTTAGGACAGTTTCTTCCCTTGGCTCTTCATAGTGCCTTCCTGTTCTGTTTTTGATGGGCAATCATGTCCGCACCTCTGTGTTTTATAAATAGCAACTGTTCCCTTTGTCCTTGGCCCTGATGAGACGATCACAGGGAAGTCCCTGCCCTTCTCTGTAACTAGGCGTCTTAGAGTCTGACTGCCACAGCCCGTCATGTGACAGTCACCCCAGGCTGCTCCTGCTTGGGCTCTGGGCCTCTGTTCAGGAATGCTGGCTTGCACACCTGGCCTGCCACATTCCGGGGTGCTGCAGGATTTGCCCAGGATGTACAAGTGCGGCTACGAGCTGTGCATGTGTGTGTGTGTCTGTCTGTCTGCCTGTGTCTGTGTTTTGTGTGTGCCTGTCTCTGTGTGTATGTGTGTGTATGTCTATGTGTGTCTGTGTTTTATGTGTGTATGTTTCTGTCTGTGTGTGTGTGTGTGTGTGTATGTCTATGTGTGTGTATGTCTATGTGTGTCTGTGTTTTATGTGTGTATGTTTCTGTCTGTGTGTGTGTGTGTATGTGTATGTGTGTGTATGTCTGTGCGTGTATGTATGTACGTGTGTGTGTGTGTGTGTGTGTGTGTGTGTGTGTGTGTTGGGGAGGGTCTTGACTAGAAGGAGTTCCTGAAGCTCATCCTGATTGGCTGAATTGAGAATGCACCCAGAGTTCACCTCTCTGCCCCAGTAACAGCATGCTTTCCATTGGCCCATAGTTAATCTTTTTATCCTAAAATTGGTGAATGAAATGAGTCATTGCTAAGTGTGGGAGGCAGGCTAAGCCTCTGCAGCAAGAATGCCAGCCAGCCTGGTGTGTTGGTAACAAGGGCCAATACCAGGTTGTAGGCTTTCAAGCCACCTCAATTCATTTCTCAGAGAATAAAGAACTAGAGTTTGACTGGTTTGTTCCGGGGCCTGAGTTAGTTACTTATCGTCTCTGATTGTCTCTGAGGTGAAAGCTAAGCTCATTTCCTGGCTGTTTTCTTGATTTTAGAACTAAATGTTTAGGAGGTGACTCCTTACCCCTTACACACACACACACACACACACACACACACTCGCCCCTACACACACTCACATACACTCACCTCCTACACACACATGCACACACTCAGCCCACACACATGCACACAAACACCTCGTCCCAAACCTGTGATTCTCAAAAGAAACCTAAGTAGCCTGTTGCTTGATAAACCTAGACAGAGCCAGGCATGGGATCGAGGTCAACCTGGGCTGCATACCCAGACCCTGTCTCAAAACAACAATGCCGACACCCAAAAGCCAAAACCAAGAAAGACTGGGGATGGTGGAGCAGCTTCAGGCTTCCTGTCACGCAAGTCGTTCTCTGCCCTCCTCGCTTCTCGTCCTGCAGACATGCCCTGGGTAATTACAGTCAAGATTAGATTTCCAGTGTAGGCCTGAGATCCCTGCTCCCAGCAGGACGAGAGCAAGAGGACAGAGGCCCTCGGGTGTGAGGCGTGGTCACTGGGGCAAAGGACTTCCTTTTGGAGCTCACTGCCCTCTTGTTTTTGTTCCTGGACTGTTCTCTGTCCTCACCCCTCCCAGGCGCCTGCCCTCTCTGTCCCTTGGGCAGCCTTGTCCTTCATGTCCTTGCATTGAAGACTCACGTCTGTGCTTGTGGGAAATTAGCAGTGTCGTGGGGTGAAAAGCACTGGGGAACGGGGTCAGGAAGTGAGTAGTGAGTTTTAAGCACCTGCTGACCATCCTGTCTGGGTGGGGCGCTTGTCCTGGCAGGACATCTAACAGGCCTGAGTTGGACTTCTGCAGAGACGGACACTGTGACTGCGGTTTAGCTGTAGGAAGAGGGCTGACACCACTCTGGCCTGTGCTGCTCTGGAGTCCGCCTCTGGGTACTCACTCCTGGGCAGCCTCAGTCACACTGTTCTTCAAGGCCTTCCTCAACTGAGCACAGCCACTGAGTCTGAGAAATGACCAAGGGCCACCGGTGAGGAGGAATCTTCTTGTCTCCCCATGGCCCTTGTGACAAATGCAGGGTTGAGCCTCTCTGATTGCCTGGGCTGTTCCTGTGTCCCTTGGCCGTGTGGAGAGCCCTTTCCACGGGTGCTGAGCTTCTGAGTGATTAGGAATGATGGGAAATAAGCAAGGTAGGGGTGGGTAGGGTATTTATGCCTCACTTCTATAAACACCTGACCAAAACTTGAGCTCTAAATGACACTCGAACTATGTGGGAGGCATTTTGATATTTTCATTTTTGAGCTGTTGTTTTCCATTTAAAACAATGTACGGAGTAGAGCATTTGATGTGAGGTATGCTTAGAGTCCGTCAGCCTCACAGATGAGCAGGCAGCACTAGACCCCTCTCCTGTAAGTGGTGGCTGATGCCTGCTTGTCTCAAAACAGAAAGTTACAAATAATCACATTTGTGATTTTCTCTAATTTTTTTAAAAAAGGCTTATTTTATGTGTATGACTGTTTTGCCTGTCTGTGCACTGGGTGCCTAGTGCCCAGAGACCAGAGAGGGCCTCGAATCCCTGGGACTGGAGTTACAGAAGGTGGTGAGGAGCCATGTGAGTGCGGGGACCTGAACCTGGACCCTCTGGAAGAGTAGTCAGTGCTCTTAATGTAGTATTCTGCTACATGACTGAGCCCACCGTCAGAAAAGCGGGCCATCTCAAACTCCAAATCATTACATAAGGCCGGGTGTCCCAGACCAATGAAATGGGGAATTTAGAGGGTCAAAGCCCAGCTTATGGGAGAAGAGGACAGGAATGTCTCATAATCTGAGAACTTTAAAAATGACTGTTTTGTACCAAATCAGCACACCACCCACACTTGCCTGTCTCCATGCTGGCATCCTTTTCTGTACAGTCGTACGTGAGAAGTTGATTCCTCTTCACTTATCTCTTAAACTTCTTATTATTTTATTTTCCAACGAACAAGACAGCAACTGCAATTACTTTAGTGATTTCTCAGCTCCCCTGTAGTTATATAGCCTGTGGTTTGAACAAAACTATAGTTTCCTGATTCTGGAGAAAGCAAATGTTCAGGCCACAAGGTAATGCCTCGTGTGGAGTCAGGGCCCCCGACTGTCGTTGCTACGGCCCGCCACTTCTGGGATTCCATTTCCTAGAGCAAGTGAACAGGGTACGTGGCATAGACTGTGAAGTGGTGTGGTCTTCTAGAACATCTAACACAAGCAGATGAATCTCGTGGAGATGGATTTGGAGTTGGCATCTGTCCCCTACCTGGGACATCTGTCTTTGTATGGTCCACTCTGTCTATCCGTTGTCATGGCTGAACTAGCAAAACATCCTGTCCCTAAACGCTGCTATAGTTTCTCTGCACTTTGAAAATTCTTTTTTTTTTAAAATAAAGTTAAATAAAACCTGAATAAGAAAGTGAAACAAGCAAAACAGATGCAACTGCATCTGAGTTACTTTAAACCTTTTCATTTCATAGGTTAGAATGAAGAACTCAGCATGTTCTAATACAGTCCAGCCTGATGTGAGCTAAAAAGGCCTGCCTGCCTATGCCAGCTCTTTGCTTTATTGAGGAGCATATTCAACCCATCCATCTATTCATTAATTGATTCACCTATCTACCATCTACCCATTCACCCATCCATCCATTCACCCATCCGTCCGTCCGTCTATCCATCCATCCATCCATCCATCCGTCCGTCCATCCGTCCATTCATCCATCCATCCATCCATCCATCCATCCATCCATCCATCCATCCATCCATCCATCCATCCATCCATCCAGATCAGTCGATGATCTACCCACCCATCTACTCACCCACCCATCCATTCATCCATCTGAGTCAGTGTATTCTCATGTGCTGGCTTTCAAATGGGGACAAGTGTTATCAATGACTAAACAAATCATTTTCCCTCCATGAACCTGGTTTTCATCAACTCTTCCTGCATAGCCCCTGCACATATATGGCCAAGGTTATTGCTCTTGAACAGGCTTCAAGAACTGGATGGAGAATTGTTAATTCTCCTGCTGTCTTTGAGTACACCCATCTGACACAGCCCTGTTGGTTCCTCCAGAATGCACAGGATTAAGTCCCCATGCTCCCTCTTGTCTATCATAGAAAGAGCGGGATTTGGAGCTGGCTGCGCGGATCGGCCAGTCATTGTTGAAGAAGAACAAGACCCTAACTGAGAGGAATGAACTACTGGAAGAGCAGGTGGAACACATCCGGGAGGAGGTGAGGACCCCTAGCCTGGGAGCTGTCGGGGGGGGGGGGGGGCCGCATATGTGCAGGTGTGGCCATGACCTTGTCCTCAGAGAGCCCAGATTCTACATGGAGACCCACCATGCTGGGCAGCAGCACACACAGGCCCACACAGCAAGCAGGCAAGGAGCCAGTGGCCCTACACCACTCACCTTACACCAGTGTCCCTGTGTAAGTGCAGAAAACAAGGCAACGCCAGAGCCTGCAGTTTTCATGATCCACGTCTTAACTCATGGCTGTCAGAGGAGAGTGGACAGACTATCTCAGCATCTCCAAAGGGAGCCTACAGTCAGGAGGAAGGATGCTACTTTCCTGGGAGTGAGGAATAGACTGCATGGAGACCATTAGAGTCAGGTGCAGTTGATGGAACAGGGATTCGGGGCTTAGAGCCCGGCTTCTCTCCCCATGACCTGTTTTCCAAGCAGTAAGTTTTAGCCCTGAGGACTCTTCCTTCCCACCTCTTCCTCACTGTCTGTCAGTAACTTCCTTAGTGGGAAAGGCACCCTTTTCCATGACCCTACGGTACAGTCAGTCTTTCTCATTAAAGCTCTTCTGGGGCTGAGTTTACTGTTTCAAGTCAACCTGTAAGAAAGGGTTTTATCCCCAACTTGCTTTCTGAGATGGTAAGCTGGAGTGTTGTAGTTTTGTTGGAGAAAGGAAGTTGTTCTGACCTTCTCTGGCCCAAGGAAATGGCCTCAGTTAGGTGAGAAAGCACATGGGCCAGCATGTCTTTCTGAGCAGAGGGACACACCACCTGGGAGCCGGTGAGTGGGTGGCCGCCCACTGGCCTCCTTCCATGGCGATCTGTGTGAGACCTCCTCAGCCTGCATGAAGAACAGCCTACTCCACAGGATGCAGATGCCTGCTTCCCAGGAGAAGCTTTGGATGGGAAAACTCTGAGGCTGTTCTTCTCTTGGAGGATCATTGAGTGGTTCCTCTGAGTAGGAGAACCCTTACACAGCATATGATACAAGTGGATCCTCCAAGGAAGATGGAGTCCACTCCCTGTGTGGTGTGGAGAAGTTGGAACAAACCCCAAGGCACATCAGAAAACAGACTTCCCATCCTCCTTTATGGCCCTGGTCCCGTGCTTATCAGTACTGAGTGCTGGAAGGGCAGATGAGAAGTTTGACAGTATCCACTGCTTCTCTGAAAGCCTTGAGCTCAAATCGGCAACATTTCAGTCAGCAGCCTGTCTTTCCTCAGGGCTCATCTTTTCCTCACACACTCCACGTTTCTGCCCGGTAACCACTGTGTGCAGAATAGGGACTGACCGCCTTGGTCAGGGACAGTGTGAGGTGTGCTGATCACATGGGGGGAGGGAGCTGTGGTTTTCTAAGTGGAGTCTGTGAACTGCTCCTGGCAGCCCGTCTGGCGTTAGCACATGCCCAGATCTGCTCTGAGATGGCATTGAGTTCTGACAAAGAGAGTGGCTGCTCCTTTCATTTAGTGTATGGCCCATTGTTCTGGCACTCGCCCAGCTGGTCATCTGGCTGCTTCCAGAGCCAATGAACAGTCTCACTCCCACCCCTGGGATCATTCCAGAGCCTTCTGCTCCCCTGTCTGCCCTTCTAACTAAACATTGTGAACATAGAGTTTCCCACCTAGACGTCGTTGATTGAGTTTTTCTTAAATGGCATCAAACTCAATGCCTTGAAATTTTGAGTAGTGAATCGATCCTCATTTGGGGCATCATCCCTCCCCAGCAAGCATTTGAGCACAGAATGGACATTGCCACTTTCCAGAAACCTCCAACCTGCTCTTTCCTCTCTGTGCAGGTGTCTCAGCTCCGACATGAGCTGTCCATGAAGGATGAGCTGCTTCAGTTCTACACCAGCGCTGCCGAGGAGAGTGAGCCCGAGTCTGTCTGCTCAACCCCGTAAGTCACCAGGGCAGTCCCTGGAGCCCGAGGGCAGGAGGGCTGTAGGGGATGTCCTTGGAGGCCTCTAGGCAGGGTCACTAGCAGCTTGGGTTCTGTCTACAGGCCTCAGATGAAGCCATCTCGCTGCTTCTGTGGGAGCTGCAGGGCGGGGGGGCGTTTCCCTCTTACGGGGTTTCATTCTTGTCAGAGCGGCCATTTGCCCTGGCAGGTCATGGAACAGGGTGGGCTCAGTTGTGGGAGGAGGCACAGACCCTGGGCCTCAGGCCTGAGTGCTTCTCTGAGAGTCAGCAGGCCCTCAAGTTGGGAGTCCAGTGAGCGATTTGGGGTCCCAGCTCTGTTGTGACTTAGAAGGTGTGTTCCTGTAGCCCAGGCTTCTCTCCACACTGTAGCTGGAACTGTTAAGAACACTTAGGTCATGAGCACTGAGTTCACACATACAGCATACATGGAGCACTTACTTTAGAATTTAATTTATTTATTAGTATACATTGGGGGAGGCACAGTCATGACTTAGAGCTTGCATGTGGAGGTCAGAGGACAGCTTTCCGGAGTCAGTTTTCTTGTTGGTCCTAGGCGTTTAATTCTGACTGTCGGGTGTCAGCTTTCACTCCCTGAGCTGGCTCACCGGCCCATAAAACACTTCTTGTGGATAGGTGTGCATGAACTGAATTGGTTAAATAAACCTGACCACACCCCACCCCCAGTTCTGAGCTAATGTGGCTCCTACACCTTTGGGGTAACCCTTCCTGGTCCCCACATGGGGCCGGGTGGGAAGGAAACAAAGCCCCCCCCCCCCCCGCCCCCAACTGAGTGTGCTCTTCTCTCAGACTGAAGAGGAATGAGTCATCCTCCTCCGTCCAGAACTACTTCCACCTGGATTCCCTTCAGAAGAAGCTGAAGGACCTCGAAGAGGAGAATGTTGTACTTCGATCTGAGGTGACGCACACACCCTGCTCTTGCTCCCTTCGAAGGGTGGGGGTGTCCCTCTGGCAGCAGAGCTTTGGTGACAGTGACATCTGCGTAGCGTCCATCTGCAGAAGCCCTGCCCGAGCGTGCCCTCCCTGTCCGAGCGTGCCCTCCCTGGCCAGGGTGGCTTCTGAGCTGGCCATCACAGGGGTGAAGACCGAGGGGTGTAGGCCTTTCCCCTTCACCCCATGCCTTCCGTGGGGTTCCCCAGCCATGGCCTGAAGGCTGGGGTGACACCAGCTCTCACGTTATTGAGGATCAGATTTGCTCCAAGGAGATCAGAACATGGAGACAGAGTTACACAGTGAGCTTGCAAAGGCTGAGCAGAGGCAGCCTGGGAGCTTTGGGAGCTTGGGCTTCTCAGTGTTTCCTGTGTGGAAAGGAAGGCGTTGCGCCAGGCACCGTCCTGTGCTGCTGCTGCTGCTGCTGTTGTTGCTGTTGTTGTTGCTGGTCTTCACAGCAAGGCCAAGAGCCGAGCCTCTTCTGCACCAGGCTGCGGGTGTTGGAAGATGTCAGGGTTGACAGATGACAAAGGCCAGGATGCCCCTCTGGCCCCAAGCAGTTTTTTCTCCTCTCCACCACTGCTCTCTGAAACAAGTACCACACTAGTAACAGATTTAGTGCTCTTTGTCTTAATTAACATTGAGCTTGTCTGTAGGCAAGAGATGGCACCACCCTGTCCACCAGGCCCTTGTCTGTCAGGTTTGGGCCGTGAGCCTACCTAAGCTGCCTCCAGACTCGCAGGGCCCCTTGGGGGGACAGGCCATCTGTCACTTTGGACTTGCCATGCACTGCAAAGAGCCTCCTGTCTGGACCTTACGAGGCACCTGACCTGTCCTTGCAGACCCCATACCCGCCAGCCTTTTATTTCTTACAAGGGAACCACAGAGGTCCCTGATTTTCCTGAAGAACCCTCAGAAACAGCTGAAGAGGTGGTTACTGTGGCCCTTCGCTGCCCAAGTGGGCGAGTTTTGAGGAGATTTTTCAAGTCTTGGAATTCACAGGTCTTATTTGACTGGATGATGAAAATTGGGTACCACAAATCCCTATACAGTCTTTCTACTTCCTTTCCCAGAAGGCCTCTGGAAGCGGCCTCTTGTAACTGGAGGACATAAAAATAACTGTGGATACTGTACTTAATGTGAAAGAAAAAGAACAGAGTAAATATGGTGATATTCTAATTGTACTAAATGTGATTTTAATTTTATGTTAATAAATAAAGTTGCCTGGGGGTCAGAGCTATTAGAGCCATAGCAAGAGTGTGGCAGTGGTGGCCTTCAATCCCAGCAAGGCAGGACAAACAGAAGGCCGCCCAGGTTTGGTCTGCTAGCCTGTGGCTCAGATGCTGAGCCCCTGCCTCACCGCAGTCTCCTGGCCTCTGGCCCAGGTGACTGCCCCAGGCCCAGGCACCCAGCCCCTCTTCCCCAGAGCTAGCTGGAGGACTCTGATTCAGGTGTGAATTCCTGATGGCCCACATCTGCAGACCAGGCTGGCCTCGAACTCACAGAGATTTGCCCTCTGCCTCTGCCTCCCAAGTGCTGGAATCAATGGTGCACTATCACTTCCAGCCCATTTTGTTTTTTAAGACAAAAATTTTTTCTCAGGCTGACTTGTAGCTCACTATGTAGCCCAGGCTGGCCCCAAACTCATGGCAGCTCTCCTGCT